GGTCTCATCCAGGCTTGCCATCTCCTCAGTGAGGTTTTTGACCTTTAGGAAGATGGGAGCAATTGCATTTAAGGGAAGTAGATACAGAAGTCCTGGAACAGCTCAGGGCTCTTTTCTGGAGCACAAGTGACATCTTCTGCCTCATACCTTGTTTTCCGTGGCATGTTTTTCCTTCTCAACCTTGGCCAGTGTTAGCTCAAGGTCATCAATATCTTTCTTCAGCTCTGAACATTCATCCTCCAGTTTCCTCTTCTTGGCTGTCAGCTCAGCATTGATTTCCTCCTCATCCTCAGCCCTTTCAGTCACTTCCTTTACTTTGGCTTCTAGCTGAATCTTGGTTTTGATGAGCTGGTCACACCTTTCCTCAGCATCAGCCAAAGCATCAGCTTGCACAATTTTGTGGGATATTTCCCCTCCAGTTTAGACCTCTCTGCTGTGTACAATACATGTTGGTTCTTTGCTCAGACAGAAGGAATGGGGAGTGTCATGTGGGCCTGCCAAGAGTCTCAGCATGCCCCTGGCAGTGCTTGTTTACTCAATGTTAGAGTATTCTAGAATCTGTGAGTTAGACTGTTTTCTGCTGCCCATTACTCAGGATCCTACAAATCTCCATGTAGGATCAGAAGCATTCTGACAGTACATCATACCTTGCCCTGCGAAAACTGAACAGTGATACTCACCGACTGCACTTGGAGCTGAAGGTCATTTTTCTCCTGCATTAAAGAAGACATTTTCTCCTCCAGCTCCTTCCTCTTTGCCTCAGACTTTGCAAGTTCTTCCTTGGTTTTCTCAAACTCTTCCTTCATGTTGGCCATCTCCTTCTCAGACTCTGCACTCTTCAGCAAGGGCTTGATCTTGAAGAACAGCTTCATCCATGGCCAGTGCTTGACGTTCATGAATGAAATGAGATTGTACTGGATGCAGAAGATGGACTCCCTGAAATGAAATTCACAAGATTGTTGCATATTCTGTGTTCAGTGAATTTAGACTCAGTTAGCCAACTCCCAGTAGAACATGAAAAATGAGTGAGAAATATCTACCTCCTCTCCACCATTCTCTGGTACTCCACTCTCATCAGGAAGCCTCTGCACCTGGCTTGTATCATGGTATTGTACTGGATGCAGAAGATGGACTCCCTGAAATGAAATTCACAAGATTGTTGCATATTCTGTGTTCAGTGAATTTAGACTCAGTTAGCCAACTCCCAGTAGAACATGAAAAATGAGTGAGAAATATCTACCTCCTCTCCACCATTCTCTGGTACTCCACTCTCATCAGGAAGCCTCTGCACCTGGCTTGTATCATGGTCATAATCTCTGCTAGTTTCTCATCTCTCATCTCCTCCAGCACACCTATCAGCCCAGCTTTGAAAAACACCTTGAGAAAGGCAATATTGTAGTGCATCAGTCTTGGGTAGTGCATGACAGGGACACAAAGTGTTTGAATACAGGTCTTGTTCCTACCTTGGTGTGACCAAATCTGTACTGGGTGTGATCCACGTCAATGGACCCAAGGAGCTTCTCTGAAGCCTTCTTGTTGTCCATGAACTGACCTTCTGGAACAGCACTGGCATTAAGCACTCTGTATCTGTAGGAGAGAGCAGAACATGAAGAAAACAACACTGGAGCTGAACCTCACAGCCTCCTCAACAACAGCTGTCCAGAGGCATTACTTCTCATAATGTCCAGTATTCATTCAAGTGATTAATTGAAGAGAATGTTCGTTCAAGAGAGTGAAAATAAGCTTTTCATGCCATTAACTCAGAGTCCAAGAGAATCCTCAAATCAAGAAAAAATTCACCATAAAAGTTGGCAATGTATAACTTAAATTTGTTCAGAGGATGGGATTCTTCAGCTTGGTCTGAACGGACAGAAAGTTGCAGTGCTCTTACCTCTGCTTGAAGTCAGCATAGAGGACTCTGCTGGGGAAACCTTTCCTGCAGATCCTGATCCCTTCCAGCACCCCGTTACAGCGCAGCTGGTGCAGCACCAACTCATGCTCCATGGCACCTGACAGATACCACCAGTAGTGACCACCTGCTGCTGGACCCAGCAGAAGAGCTTCTGCTGCTCAAATGCTCCTCCTCATGGATGCCCTTACCAGGTGTTTTGGTTTCATTGGGGATGATGCAGCGTACAAAGTGGGGGTGAGTGCTCCTCAGGTTAGCCATCAGCTTGTTTAAGTTCTCCTGTGAGATTGCAAGTTAAAGTTTAGATTAAATCAAGTGAGAACCTCGTGCTTATCTACGATGTGCTCATAAAGACTGATCTTTCTGTGTCTTGACCTATAAGAAATTATTATCTTGATGTAAAATGTCTTGAATAAATACAAATCAGACTCTTCTCAGGGAATTACAGGTCTGTCTTCTCAGCAATTCCAGTCAACTCCTGTGTTACTTCACTAGATATTTAAATGAGGCAATGAGTTCTGCTCTTACCCTGAAAAGAGCTGAGACAGTCTGGAAAGAAGAACCCTTCTTCTTGCCTCCCTTCTTGCCACCACCACCACCACCCTCTGTGCAGCAAAGAAAAAAAGTATTAGAGTATGTATACTACATATTATAAAATACAGAAAACAAAACCACTTTGCATCTTTAGTGGTTTGGGTTTAATTCTGAGAAAAGTTAATCCCACAATGAAAATAAACTCTGCACACAACTGACCTGAATCTGCTCCACCATAGTTGGCAAAGAGTAAGGCCAGGGTCTTCACAGAGGATTTCTGGTACAGCCCAATGACAGTTTCATTCAGAGGGTCCTTGTTCTTCTCCAGCCACCCAGAGATGTTGTAGTCCACTGTGCCAGCATAGTGCACCAGGGAGAAGTGAGCCTCAGCCTTGCCCTTGCCAGGTTTGGGCTTCTGGAAGTTGTTGGACTTGCCCAGGTGCTGGTCATAGAGCTTGTTCTTGAAAGAGGTGTCAGTTGCCTTGGGGAACATGCACTCCTCTTCCAGGATGGAGAAGATGCCCATGGGCTGGAAGGTATCACAAGAAGTGACAAAGAAAGATGATAATGCAAATGTTCAAGGCCAAGTAGGATTGGACATTGACCAGCCTGGTCTACTGGAAGGTGTCCCAGGCAGAGTGTGGTAGCTAGACAATCTTTACATTCCCTTCCAACCCAAACTATTCTATGATTCTATAACAATGATGTGCCTGTGCAATGAACATCTAAGGTACCACTGTGTTGTTGGTAGTATCTCAGCCTAGGTTTGTCAGGAGTAGTTCTCAGACAGAGAGCTTATTTCTGCCTTCCCTTGCCTCCCTGCAGCTTACCTTCATGGAACTGAGAAGAATGTTTCTCAAGTTCAGGTTAGAATTAGTTGTAGAATAGGAGGGAGAAGTAGCAAACAGACAAATAATAGGGAAAAATGGTACAAGAGACCCAGATTTTTTGGGAGGGCAGGTTAAGGAATATTTACTTCTCAGATTGTTGTGTGGAGTTCTAATTTGAGCCTTTGGAGGATAAAGGAAAGGAGTCTGACTCCAGTTTATCTTAAAGTCTGTCGATGGGAGTCCAGGTTGACTTTGCCATGCTTGAAGGCCACATCATGCAGGACATGACACAGATCTGCATTTCCCCATTTCTCTTGCATAGATTAACCAAATTTCAGAGAAAAATATTTTGCTTAACTGACACTGAATATCTGGCTGTGAGTTCTTTCTGAGCTGAATCTGCCTCAGAAACATCACAGAATTCCAACATACATCCTACACTTGCAGGGGAAAGGTACCTTCTCAATGAGCTCGATGCAGGCAGCCAGGTCCATCCCAAAGTCAATGAACTCCCATTCAATCCCCTCCTTCTTGTACTCCTCCTGCTCCAGCACAAACATGTGGTGGTTGAAGAACTGTTGCAGTTTCTCATTGGTGAAGTTGATGCACAGCTGCTCGAAGCTGTTGAACTGCGCAAAGCAAGGAAAGGTGCACAGGTTCTCAAGGTGTGCCAAACAGCACAGGCCTTTGCTGGCATTCTCCTAAGGCTGTTTGAAGCTCCCCAGCTGGAACACCACCCCTAAGCCAACTCTGACAACCTCTGCTTCCTTAGCAGAGCTTCTGTGGGAAATCTCACTGGTCTTGAAGGGTTTTATTCATATTACTTTTGAAATCAAGCTAAAAGCCACAGTGCTATTCCACTGAGCTACTCAACAGCAACTCCTTCAGTAGCCTCACCTGCAGCATCATGTGGTAGTTATCTCAGCTCTCTGATCTCCTGGACAGTAGAAACGCCTTTAGTGGCCTACTCAAGACTTTCTCTGCCCTGACACAGAACTCCTTGCATCATCACTGCACTCATTACACAGGAGACATGCTGTAAATTTGACCATAGCACTATGTTTTGTTGGTTTTCCAAGAGCATCGACCCCTTTGTCCCTCATCTCTGTGAGCCTCCATCTCTCTGCTTGCAAAGCCTGAGATCTTTGCAAGCTCACAGGCCTCTAAGACCATTTGCCAGAAAGCAAAGCTTTCTTCTACTTCTTGGCGACATTATAATCAGTGTTTGTCAGCAAAGCCATTGAAGGGCAAAGAGGGAGAGGTTTCTAGAAAAGTTCAAATGAGAAGGATAAACTTTTAAATCCTCTCAAGAAGTGTGTTTCTGAGTACTATGACCCCTCCTTGCCTCTCACTTGACTATGGTGCCAAATCCCTGTTCCTTACATCAAAGATCTCGAAGCCAGCAATGTCCAGCACACCAATGAAGTACTGCCTGGGCTGCTTG